CCTTTTTTTTTTTTTTTGCTGAAACCTCTCTAGGCATTCAAGTAAGCATGAAGCATTTGCTGATCGAATATAGCATTTAATTTTCCCCTTTCTGACACTCCATCATCAGGCAGAGTCCTCTGTGGAGGTGAGCTTTGTATGACTTCAAAAACCCCGCAGTTGAAGCTTTTTTAAAAAAAAAAGAGGGAGGAAAATCTGTCTTATACCTTAAATTCGAACCTTCAGACCCTTGGTGAGAAAATCAACAACCCTCCTCCCACAACAGACACACAAACTACTGTGGGAGCAGATCTGTTTAAACCAAATATGCTAAGATTATAAGGAAAAATTCATGAATTTTTTTTTTGCATAGAATCATTTGCCTCTGTATTTTTTCAAGGCTACTTTTTCTCTGATGTTGGAAAAATAAAGCCTGAGGGACTTCTGACAAAGTTGGTAATACGGGGGCAGGCTCAAGAAATTCCTTTCTCCCAAATTTGCTGAAATTAACAAAACGTTAAAAACAAATTGTTATGATTAAAGTGTTCATTTTAAATGTAAAAACAAGCATGCCATCAACCACGAAACAAAACAAAAAAAAGATCCCAACTTCATGCTATAAACTTTGTGAAGTGTCGTCCAGAAAAAGAAAAACTGGACCAAACTAAAAGAAGATGCTTTAAAAAAAAATCCATATGTTCTTCAAAAGAGAAGAATGGAACATGGAAAAGTGCAAGGAGGGGATTCTGAAAAGTCTCACTGCTTTCGAAGGTTCTGGCTGTAAGTAACACCCCTGACGGGGACCCTTTCTTCCATCAAGAAGACTTCTTCCCCTCCAGGCAAAAAGAGTCGAGAAGATTTGCCCTCTTCCCTGCCTCTGTTAGGTCAGTAACTGGGCAGGGAATAGGGGCAACATCTGCTGGGAATAATTATTCCAGACAGACCAAGAAAAAGCTCCACAAGACCTGGAGAAAGAATGCGTGTCCCCCACCCACCACGCCAGAAGCCCACAATGCACGCCTGCTCAGGGGAGCCAAGCTCTGGTGCGCGGACTTCATTAGCATCAGGAAGGAAGTCGATGGCAGCCACCGAAAGCCCCAGCTCTCTTTCCACTCCTCTTGGGCAGCTGAAAGACCAGATAAGGCATATCAATCACAGACGTACAGTCCATATGATCAGTGGAAGAATAAAATACGACCCAGTGAAACACTCTCCGGGGCAAATGGCACACTGAGAAGGAATAGTTCATATTCATCAAAGAGTTTCCAGGTCAGAGACAGTGACCCCTGCTAGCCTGATGCCTGGAACCCTAGTCTCTTGCTCAAACCCCATCCCTACTCCCACCTAGCAGTAGTCGTGACAGAGACAGAACATCTGCACATACAAAAAGGAAAGGAGCATGGTCTGCTAAAGACAAAGAACAGATTTCAAATCGCCGTTTAACAGCCAGTGTTCACTGAGTTCCAGATTCCCACTGGGCCCTCCTTTAAGTGTCCTGTGTGTATCTACCCCGCATCACCGCTACAAGATAAGCACCATTACTGTCCCCGTCTTACGGATAAGGAAGCAAAGGCTCAGAGGGGTTAAGAAGCTCTCCCGGGCTCACCCAGCTGGTAAGAGTGGGCTGGGGTTTGAACACAGGCAGTCTGGGTCCCCAGCCTGTTCTCCGCAACTCTGCTCCTGAACCTGAGGAAACAGACATTTGAGGCAACTGCTTTGTACTCTCCAAGGAAATCAGAATAGAAATTTACTCACCACACACCCTTTCTTAGAAGCTACTGGAAGGAGGGAAACCAAGAAAAAGGAAGACAGAAGCTCAAGAATCAGGGATCCAACACGGAAGAGTAGTTTTAAAAGTCCCAGGACAGGAGCTTTGCAGTGGGCCGAGAGAGCAGAGGACCCCGGGGATAGCAAAGGAAAAGAT